AAATAAAAATTAAACATATTTTAGTCTCAAAATGACCAAGTTATTGTGTTGACAAGACGTTCAGCTCCTTTTATTGTGAGATGTAGCCCGGAAAAAAAAAGGTGTTTATTATTAGTGTGAAATGTCAGAAGTCACCAGTTGGCCTCGAGTGTCGTCAGTGAGTGTCAGTCTTATCCACCGACACGTACAAAAAACACATTTCTTACATTAAAGCTTGAATCTATATATGACATACAGGGAGTGTTTGTTTAATGTAATGAAGCTTTGTTAGGAAAGGTATGTTCTGTTTCACTAACTTATAATTTATAACCTAAATTTATAATAATTTACATTTTTAACATACCACGATAGTGTCAATCTTTTGTCATAGGAATTTTATTTAGGAATGAATACAAGGGTATATTTACTTTATAGGGTTATTTAATATTTCTTGGTTTTTCATTTTTCACATACCGCAAAAGCCTTGGTGTTTTGTCATTGCAATAGGTATTTATATTTAATTGGAGGGGGATTTGAATGGGCAAATGGTTAGCGCATGTGTGCTATATCATAAGGTCTGTCATTGAGTCAGCTGGCGTGGTTTCGATTCCTTGGTTGTACGTGACAAGGAGTAGGGTCGCCTGTCTTACCTAGAAGGTTTTCTCCGGTTTCCTCCTAGTGCTAAAGACCCCCTACGTGCAAGCGAATCATTGAAATAGAATTGAACCATATGTTAGTCCCAAAATAACCTGGTTTGTCTCGAGTGGATGTTAAACCCTCTCTCTCCCTCTCTCTTTAATTGGATTTGTATTGGATGATAGTGTAGATTTTTCCGACATGGTTTCCCCTTGTCAGTGGTGCAGGATGGAGAGTCTAACAAGGACAGCTACCTAGTCATTCGGATGGGACAAAAAACCGAGGTCCTGTGTATACATTGGCATGCACGTAAAAGATCCTTGGCAGTTGGAAATCGATATAAAAGTAGGCCATAGTGCCACTGCTCGGGCAAAATTTCCCTCATAGCACACTGTATGGCGTATGCCCGTCTTCTTTAGCCCAGTCGGAGTAGAACAGTAGGACATTAAACCCCATTTCATTTTTGACACTTTAACTCTAAAAAGGCTAATAAAGACGTTTTATGAATAGATTATATTTTATATAGGCATTTATAGTTTTTGGATTTTAATTTTTCACATAGGTCCTACTGGTACCACAATAGTGTAGCTCTTTTGTCATAGGAATTTAGGAATAGAAATAAAATTAAATGGGGTTTCATTTCCTACTTTTCTGCACAAAAGGACTAATGAAGACGGTTTAGGAATAATTCTTTAAATGACATCTAGAAACACGGTTTAACTATTCATAACAAAACACAACACAAGGTATATATGGATATAACTAGCACGGTTTAACTATTCATAACAAAACACAACACCAGGTATATGGATGTAACTACTTCTCTATTATTTAATAACAACGTTTCTTAACACATACAGGTCACTTTTCAAGTTAATTTTCATGTGTGTTACGAAACCTCAAAACGTTGTTATTAAAGATACATTATGTAAGATTTAGATAAAGAACTAGCCATTCTTGCTATAATAGTTCGAAAGTAGATGATGTAAAATGAATAATTTGAAAATTTCATTCAAATTACTCTATTGTGAGTGAAGATATTGGCCTTTGAAGACGTGTGCAATAATTTCAACCATCGTACTGGTTGATCGAAGCCAAGTCTCGGTCCTCCATATTTGTTAAATCAAAGTATCGCTGAACCATTCTAATCTATTTAATATCGGAGAAATCTGATGCCATCGAGAGTTGATTAAGGCCTGGATCAGTTAATTAATGTCTAATTAATACTTTATAAAACATTTCAGGCCTAAAGAAAGACCTGCAATAGGCAGATTTAGCTCTTGCATATTGCATGTTTAAATAATAGAGAAGTTGTTATATCTATATATACCTTGTGTTGTGTTTTGTTATGAATGGTTCAGGAATAGTTATAGAAGTATTTACCCTATATAGGAATTTCAAGTTTCTTATAGCCCCTTCAGACGCTTATTTTTAAACCAGTTCATAATTGCTGGGGTTTTTAAGACAGCATCGTGTTGCGTTCACACGTACTATAAGCCAAACCAGTTTAACTATTCTGACCTCTTCGGTCGGAGGTTAGAGTATAACTACGCATGGGTAGCTTCATATTCTTTATTCGGTTCTCGCACCCTTTTGATAACATTGGCACTGTCTGACCACGATATTTTCACAGGAATGTAACTTACTGCGTACTGCACATGCTCAAAGGAAGCTGGAGCCGGGTTTTTTAAGCCAACCCATTTATAGACGGCTAAGATGAACCAGTTTAAAATAAAAAGCCTTCTCGAAGACAGGTAGCAAGCTGATTTTTTTAAACTGTTTTATTTGCCACACATTTGCGTTCAGACGCTTAAGTTAAACTGGTTTAACGATCTTACGATCTTACAGTTAATTACTAAAAAAAAACAATAATAGTCATTACTGTTGAAAACAAACTGGCTGAAACACAAATTGAAATGAAATAGGGTTTAACATTCTAATGCTCTGCACTGACTGGGTTGATGAAGACGAGCATATGCCATACAGTGTGCTCTGAGGGAAATTTTTGCCCAGGCAGCGGCACTAACTAGTGAAAATTTGGAACGTTTATTAATAATACAAGTCATCACTGTTAAACAAAAACTGGATCACGATGGCTAAGTAGGTAAGATGCTGGCTCGCTAGCTTGGAGATCGGGTGTTCAATCCCTGCATTGGCCGAGAAAGTTCATTCAGATTTTCCGGAATAGTTCCCCCTTGTCAGTGATGCAGGATGGAGGGCCTGACAAGGACAGCTGTTTTGTCGTTCGGATGGGCCGAAAAAACGAGGTCCCATGTACACATTGGCGTGCACCTAAAAACGAGGTCCTGTGTATACATTGGCATGCACGTAAAAGTTCCCTTGACTGTTGGAATTTGATATAAGAGTAGGCCGTAGTGCCGCTGTCCGGGCAAAATTTCCCTCATGGCACACTGTATGGCGTATGCCCGTCTTCATTAGCCCAGTTCGGAGCAGAACAGTAGGACGTTAAACTCCATTTCATTTCATTTCATTTAACAAAAACATTTTGAAGAAACATAAACTGGTGAAGTTGGAATATTTAAAATACATGTGGATTTTTTGATCAATTTGTGAACATTTTAACAGTTGTTATATCTTTCTAGAATTTTAACTATGAGCTGTTAACTTTGATGTTTTATTATTGTTTATGGAGATTATTATTTTTACGTTACTAGGCAACAATTTAAATTATAAATGACTTCAGTAAGATCAAAGAAATTTGTTTTATTTTTTTCTTTGTTACGCTTAGTAGCCTACGTGGAAAATTTCATACCAAAATAAAAAATTCTGCGTGTGCTGTTTTGTTTGGTGTTGGTAGTCGAGTTTGGGGGTGCCATGTCAGAATGTTTCTGGTGACTACAGGACCCCTAAAATCTGTATTAACATTTAAAAAAGACGATCTGTACACACTGCAGCAGTAGCGGATCCCTAAATTAAAGTATAAACTAATTATTCTGTTCATACCAAACCTTTAAATTTGAGGTTTTTGATTGCTTGTGGAGTCCAAATATATGCCACCATCAACACCACGATTTTTCAAAAGTTTCCTGGAGGAGAATTTACCACTGGGTAGCCCCCCCCCCCCCAAATATCCTGCATCCACTACATAATGTATGTACATGATGATGAATATATTATTGTTTTAACTAACTAGGTCACATGACTAATCATTTTGATAATTTGTATATTATATTATTATGACATAAGGCTACAACAATTGTATTATCTGTTCTTCAGAGATACCGGTTAAAATATTTCTTCTTATTTCTTTGTGTGAAAAACGCTGATTTAAAAACCAACAGTACTTGGTTGCGCTGTTCAAAAGCTTTTAGCTCCAAAATTTTAAAGGAGCTAAATCGCTAATTTTGGGGACCTAGAACTTAAAGCGGTGGACACACTAGCCGAATCAATCGGCGTCGAAATTCGCCTAGTGTGTCCACTGTCATTCACCCGAATCAAACAGGTTTGATATATTCGGCCAAATATTTATTCGGCCGAATTATATTCGCCTGGTGTGTCCGCTTCGCTGAAGCATTCGGCCGAATGTAGAATTCATTAGCCAGTCACCACTCATATAGAGAAGTCACGTGATAGTTTGAAGACATAGACGCAGCCATGTCTAATCATGTGACATGAAAGGTGATGCAATCGACTGGTGAATTGGGTGAAGCAATCGACTAGTGTGTCCACCCATTCGGCAGAATAAAATTCTGCGCCGATTGATTCGGCCGAATCATTCTGCGCCGATTGATTCGGCCAATGTGTCCACTGCTTAACACAAATGGGTCGCAACGCATATAATAATGTAATATGAATGTATATAAACTGATTTACATTCAGTCATTTCTGTTTTTACTGTAATTTCTAATCAGTTATGTCTGGCAAAATACAGGAAGAGTTCCAATTGAATGGCCGTCTTTGGCATCTGGTTATTCCAGTCTACACCTGTAGGATTCTCCTACATGGAATATGTTTAGTCTCGTTCACTGTGTTGCTTCATACAAAAGGCATTCAAAAGCATTCTGGCACACGATTTGACCAAATTGACCAAATTGACCAAAAAGTCCTATTTGCAATGTCGAAGACTGTGGATGATATTGAGTTAAAAATATAAAGACTTGACTCCTTTAAGATTTGAAATTTGAAAGTAAACATCTTTCATGTGATAATTAATTTATCAAGACTCCGAAAAACAGAAGGTTAAATTGGTTTAGCCTAACTCATACATAATAACTGTTACATATAACTAAGTTATCATAACAAAACTCAGAGAGATGCAAAGCTATTTGATTCAATAAGGTTGACCACAAAATAACTATTTAAATTAGATTTACAGGAATGCTTTCAGTATTTTATTATTTGATTGTGTTTTTCATTCCTTTCAGTCTTCAAGAAGTCAGCCAGCTATTGGCCTGAAGCAAACACCAAAAGCAAGGGTAAGTTATTTTTTATTATCTAAAAATTGGTTATATTGAGGATATCGCTAATAGGGGTTTGAGTTGGCTTTCAACTAGGGTGATATTGCAGACCGCTTTTTATGAAGAAATTTACCAGAAATAGTCGAGGTTGAGGTCAAGTATAAAAAGTAGGGGAGGGGGTGAAGGGAGAGGAAAGGGCTTGTCTGCAATATCTCCCTTGGTGGAAGTGGACATTAAGCCCATTTGACAGATAGAAATACAGGAAACACGGCGTTAAAAATCCAGTCGTTCAGATGGGATGATAAACCATTGTCCCTTGTACACGTTGGCGTGCACGTAAAGGATCCATTGCCAGTTGGAACTTGACAAAAAGTAGGCAAAAATTCTGCTGTCTAGGTAATATTTCATAGCATATGCCCGAATGGTCTAACACACATGCTTTAGATTATAAGGTCTGTCGTTGAGTCAAGTCACTTGGGTTTTGACCCATGTCAAGGATATGAGCCGTCTGTCTAACCTTGTGGGTTTTCTCCGGATTTCCTCCCACTGGTAAATACCCACCCCACCCAACCCCATCTCTCTCTCTCTCTCTCTCTCTCTCTCTCTCTCTCTCTCTCTCTCTCTCTCCGTGAAAATATTCTCTTCCATCTTCCATTATTAGCCTTGTGTCTTCACCACAAAGACTTTTTTTTATAAACTTAAAGTTCATCGTAGTAAAACGTATTTTATTTTTAAACCGTTTGGTATTTCCATCTACATTCTTTAATTGGATATTCCTGACCTTTGACCTTCATCATACTTCCTTAACGACGGCCAAACTGTGCTCGTGTTCTAAGTTTAAACATCTTTTAATTCATCTCTAGCGGTTGCAAATATGTGATAAGTCCGACTCGCCCACGGAAAATTGACACGATTGTCAAGCCACGAAATGCCACCCTGCTTTATTTGCGGAAGGACAACGTCTTCTGAATTTTAGATGACAACATTCTCGTTTGCATTGGCTATTTTAGTAAACTTTCATTTACCCCCCACAACCTTAGGAATGCGAACTAGTGATAAAGGTAATTATTTTCTCTGGTGCATTTCACTTAATTTTTTTTTTTGTGACAGTTCTTTGCGATTACTTGGTGCAAGAAATATAAATTACCTAACTCTGAACAAACTTCATTGTTTACTGGACTTACTTGGCTTTTCTATTCTGTACTCAGAAATATATTTGAACTTTTTATGGAGAACATTTTCTCTGCTTCACAAAGATTAATTGAGAAATTACGCAGCTTGGCTGTGAATAATGTTACTAGGAATATATAAATATTGAAATAAATAAAAATAGGTTAACTGGAATTTATAAACTGTATTTAGTTATAGAAGGCAACAGATGTTGTGTTTGAGATAGGGTATATTTATTGCTTCTAGAACATCTCATGTCACTTCTTGTCTAGTTAGTTATATCATGGACTGTATATAGAAAGGTCCATGGTTATAGTCAGTAACGATTGTCCTGTGTGAGGTGGGATATATTTATTCCTTTTAGAACATCTCATGTCTCTTCTTGTCTAGTTAGTTACAGTGGGTAAAAGATGTCCTGCATGAGGTTGGATATATTTATTCTTTCTAGAACATCTCGTGTCACTTCTTATCCAGTTAGTTACAGTGGGTAACAGATGTCCTGCATGAGGTTGGATATATTTATTCTTTCTAGAACATCTCGTGTCACTTCTTATCCAGTTAGTTACAGTGGGTAACAGATGTCCTGAGTGAGGTGGGATATATTTATTCCTTCTAGACCATCTCATGTCACTTCTTATCTAGTTAGTTACAATGGGTAACAGATGTCCTGCGTGAGGTGGGATATATTTATTCCTTTTAGAACATCTCATGTCACTTCTTGTCTAGTTAGTTACAGTGGGTAACAAATGTCCTGTGTGAGGTAGGATATATCTATTCCTTCTAGAACATCTCATGTCACTTCTTATGCATGATTTGAGCGATATAGGAATCTCAGGCAAACTTCAATTTTATAAGGGGGGTTGGATGGCCGACGAGGAGTAGGGTCGCCTCTCTAACGTCATTGAAATTATAAAATTGAACCATATGTTAGTCCCGAAATGACCTGGTTTGTGTTGAGTGGACATTAAGCTCCATTCCCCCTCTCTCTCTCTCTCTCTCTCTCTCTCTCTCTCAATATTGTATAAATTTAGTTTTTAATAGAACTATCAGTCATAAAATGGTTGAATTCCGTTCAATATTTACGAAGATATTTGAGATTATTTGAGAATAAAGAGAATTTTGTGTGAATTAAAATAAAGATAAATTGCGTCTTCTAACATCCCAGCAATAAATCGGGTTATTTGTCTGAGCTGGTCTCTGGTGGATGTCAGTAAACACTGATAACCAATGTTTATTATACTGGCAACAAAATTCCAACAATTTGGTTGGTCATGGGTTTCCCTTGTCAATGGTACAGGGCGAAGGACCTGGTCTGGTTGATGCTAGTAAGTACCGGTAATAAAAACCAATATTGATTCAAATAGGAACCTTATACTGGCAACAAAATTCCAATAATTTGGTTTAGAATGATTTCCCTTTATCAATAGTGCAAGATGCAGCACTAGACAAGGCCTTGTGTCTAGTTGGTAGGATAGTACGATAAAATAAGGTCCTGTGAACATGTTGGCGTACACCTAATAAAAACTTATTACACTGTTTGGGTGGTCAAGTGGTCAAGATCTTTGATTGAGTCAAGTGGTTGTGTTTTGATTCCCTGTGTGTACTTGACAAGGAGTAGGGTCACCTGTCCAGCCTTGTGGGTTTTCTCTGGGTCCTCCTGTTTCCTCCCAAAGACCCTGACATGCAAGCAAATTAATGAAATTATAGTGTATGATATAAGTCCTGAAATGACTTAGTTTGTGTCGTGGACATTAAAACCCCATCTGTCTTTCTATTATGCTGGCACTAAAATTCCAACAATTTGGTTAAGAGTGGTTTCCCCTTGTCAGTTGTTCAAAACTGTGGGGGTGTGGGGAGGGGCGTCGCCAGACAAGGAACGACTGCGAAAAAACCAAGGTCCCGTTTACTGTTCACCAAAAATGCTTAGCAGATGGAATTTAATGAATATTCTGAAATGGTACTGTCTGTGCAAAATTCCCATAATAGCACACTGCAATAACATATGTTCATCTTCATTAGCCCAGTTGGGGGTTGGATGGCCGAATGGTTAGCACGTGCACGCTGTATCATACGGTCTGTCAATGAGTCAATTGGCGGGTTTCTATTCCCCGTTTGTACGTGACGAGGAGTAGGGTCACCTGTCCAACCTCGTGGGTTTTCTCCAGGTCCTCCGGTTTCCTCCCACAGCTAAAGACCCCTACGCGCAAGCGAATTATTGAAATAAAATTGAACCATATGTTAGTCCCGAAATGACATAGTTTTATGTTGAGTGGACGTTAAACCCCATTTCTCTCTCTCTCTCTCTCTCTCTCTCTCATTAGCCGAGTTGGTGCCAAAAGGTAGAACATTAAACCCCATGTTATTTATTTGTTTTATTTGCAACAATTTGGAAAGATAAATGACAACGATTTAAACGAAACAGACATCTTCTCAAGGCACCTTTCCAAAAAATCCAGATAACGGTAGAATATGTTTTGATGGTTGAGGGTTGTTCACCCGCTGTTTTTAACCTTGATTTTAATATTGACCTGTTACTATAATTAGCATGTATTCCGTTCTATATATAAATATTAACAACTTGCCTCGTGATCAGAAAAACAATGGTTTGGTAAATAATCTGAATTTGAATGAACAGACGTCATGAGAATGAATGAGATCTCTTCAAGTTGTCTATTTGGCATCCAGATGATTTCTGCTGATGAAAACAAAAACTTAATCGAGAAATACATTCATGCCTTCTGTTTTAGTTTCAGCTTCTCTGAAAAGTTTTATTCACAATTAATCAAGCCTGGAAATAAGGCACCTGTCACAGACATTGTCAGACACACAGATTCAGGCTTTGTCAGGCACAAAACCTTTGGTATCTGACATTTTGTCAGGCACTGATTTGTCTTTTTATTGATATTATCAATACATGTCAGGTACTATTTCATTAGTGCCTGACATTTTGTCAGGTACATCTAAAACCGTTATTTCTAGGCCTGCAATTAATTGAATCTTTCAGAAAGGAATATGAGTTCAATTCCGTCAGCATTTACAAAGATATGATGAGTTGAAAATTTGTCAACATTCATCAGGGCGATTGAGAACTTTTTTTATGTTCTGGATCAAGACAATTTTGCTTTTCTCCCCCATTGAGGTTGGTGGATGCAATTCAGTACAAACTAATATAAACTCGAACAGGCCTAATCTTCCGTAAAAGTCAAGCTTCATTTCGTTTACCCTCAAATATTTTTGAAAATATTGGGTGGCTTGCAAGTAGTTTAAGTCTGATAATCTATAGCTTTCAACATTCCGTAATCTGTCTTAGTTGGCTCGGACTAATATAAGAACAAACTTGATCTGTTTAACAAAAACCTTGACAACACGGAAAGTAGAAAAGCAGACCAACATTTCATTCCAAAAATATTTCTTGTACATCGTAGAATAATCAACCTGGCATATTTTTGAGGTAAAAAAACAAGTTCAGTGTATATTTGAATCCTCCAAATACTTCTGAAAATATCTTAAAGGTACCTTCCCACGTACAAATTTGAACTAAAAACATATTCAAACTAATTAATAAATTAAAATTTTGTTTAAAATCCCTCTCAAAACATTGTATCCATGAGGGAATACCACTGCTATAACAAATCTATTAAGAGGTCATCTTTTTGTTATGTGACTTGGCTGATGCGGTACCTAGCAACAGGGTTGAAGCCAGAGGAGAGTTCATTGCATATACAAGACGATGTTGTCTTTAATTTCTGATTATTTGTCATAAATATTGAAGCCTGATTAAATTCTCGGATTATCCACTGCCCACGTCTTTTTCCGTGGTTTTTATCTCAGAAACTGTTGCACGTTTA